TAATTCAAAGCCTAGTATGAGCTCTGTCCAGTCTCTTTTGTGTTCTTGGGAGTCAATGCAAAATAAGCACAGACTCGGAGAATAATTTGGGTTGGAAGGATCTTCGGAGGTGACCTGGTCCAAACGTGACTCAAAGCAGGGCTAACTTCAAACTGAAATCAGGTTGCTCAGCACCCTGTCCAGTGGAGTTGCGAACGCCACTATGGATGGGAACATCCTTGACAGAACTGTGAACAGGGAAATAGGGAATCTGTTCCTGGTGTCACCTTCTTTACCAAAAGCCTGTGGTCTGTTGCAGCTATTGATGTCACTTACTTGCTGGAGGAAGGATCGGGAAGAAAGCTGAGGCGGCGCACTCTCACCATCCCGGAGAGCAGCTTCAGGAAGTGATGCCACGAGAGGAAGCTGTGGTCTGGAGTCTGCTACAAGGTCTGCTGAGGACTGCGGGCAGGAGCCCAACTTCCTCTGCACCAGCCAAGGAAAAGAGGGCAGCAGAAAACTGACAAATATACAAACAGTTAGCACTTAGATGTCTGGGTTGGCAGGTTGCCCTACCCTGCTCTGCAGTGCTCTTATGGTGTGTGTGTTGTTGGGCGTGCCTTGTATTGATGTTAGGTACTGAGAAAAACCTCGTGGTTATTGTCCAGGATGGTCAAATTTAATTTATTTTTGCTTGATATTCCCACTCAGAGGAAAAATAAAACAATTAAAAAAAATGGGGAGGTAAGAAGGATAAGGACTGACTTACTCTGATGAGAATATTCCCCATGTTCACCAATTAACCTGTGATTGTACGAGATACTGTTGGCACCGCCACGGCCCGTGCCAGTGAATGAAATCCAGATGGGAGGGTGAAGGCCCAGTGGCTTAAAATTAAAGGCTGCCCTAAAGCTGTGGCCTCTGATTTGCACAAGTTCCAAGAAGAGAGGAACGTACCCAAACGTGCGAAAGGTTCACCATGGAGCGGCCAGCGCGCACACGTACCTTTGGTCTGTGACGAGGAGAAACTTCCAGTGTCACCCTGGAGCAAAGCAGGAGTTGGCTGGTTGAGGCACTTGTTCTGCGTCATGGAGGGGGGAGGGGGCTGGGTGTGACTTTTTCACTTTTTTCTGCGGAGAAATTTTATAAAGCAAGTCAAATCCTGACAACACCATTGCTGTTGGTTTTTTTGATAAGCTGTGGTTCTTGTGTGTCTAGTGTGTTGTGCAAATTAAAATCTGTTAAAAGAAAAAGGAAAAAAAAATAAGGAAACCTTCACTACATGAACCGTCAAGCAGTATTCAGAGCGAGTATTTGTTGTGAACTGTAGAATATATCAACTGCTAACACTATTCTTGTGTTCTGGTTGTACAGCTTCAAATGTCCGTCTCTTAAATTAAGAGACAGCGTATCTCGTGCCGCCCTCTCTCTCTGCCCCGACGAAAAGTATTACTCCCGAAAGCAACAGCCGAGGCACTGATTTCTCGCCGCGTGAAGTTGCAATTGCCATAACGTACCACGAACCAGTGCTGCGGCAGGGCTCCTGTCCTGCGCCCGACGACCTCCCCGGCGTGCGGAGCCACGAAGCTGCCGCCCGTCTCTGGCTGTGGCAAGGGGAGGGGGTGGTCGGCGTACGCTGCCCCTTTAAGATGGCTTTGCTTTTTTGTCTTTCAGACGTACATATGCATATACAGTCCTGTTTTAGATGTTCTTATAAGAAAACCAGTTTTTAATGTGCCAAGTTGTATATATCTGCTGCGTGGATGTAAAGCAATACAGTAGTTACATGTTCCTTTTTAATGGACCAAGCTTGTCCTAATGTACATTCTTGTTATTATTATAATTATTTTACTCTTAGTGGAACATGACTCATTCCATTAACTTTTATGTGTTGATTTAAAAAGAAAAAAAAAAAAGAAAGGAAAAAACCCTTTGAGAAAAAATATTTTATTAAAAAAAAAAAAGAAATAAGAAAATAGTTTGGAATATTTTCTTACTGTAGAGAAGCACTGTACAGTACCAGGAACCCTGAGTATAAAATACTCGTGCGTGTAGTAGGAATATCGCATGTCCAAAATCTTGAGTTGTCTCATTTAGTTTAAAACAGAAATCATTGTCTCAAATGGTGTTAAACACTAAAAAGTTTTTAAAAAATAAAGTGCGTACAGAAGCGAGACACTAGCTCTGTCATTTTATCTTTCTTTTGTTGAAAGACTAAACAAAATGTTTTTTAGACAATCAAATGTTAGGTAAGTGCAAAGAATTGTTTTTCTTACTGGTGTAGAAATTAATGACTTTTTTTATTTTTCGGTTATTTTATAATAACGAGAAGACCAGTGTGTCACCAGGATCGCTGTTTTAAGACCAGGAAGCACTACATTATTGCAAATAGATATGAACTCTTAGTCTGCATGGGTGTAGGCTGTGTGATTGCTGAAAATAAATGCTGCTAATATATTTCCTTTTTACAAAGCATATCTAAATAGATCATTGTTTTGATGTTAATCTTTGTAAATTATGTATTACCAATTTTAACATTGGATGTAATTGCATAAAAAGCCTGCATCTCAATCCTGAGAGAGTCTAGTATTAAATGGAAAATCTTTTCCTATCGATGACTTGTGGGATTTTCTTTGACATCTCTTTGGTTTTCTTTTCCTGCCTCTGTCTCAGCTGCTCCTGTCACGTTCTGACTCTCTTACAGCCTCTTTTACGGGGTTGTCGCCCCGTGTCTTTCAAATATCCGGTTGGCTGACAGTGTTTCACAGGGGTGTAGTTTGATGCCGATGGTTCTCCTGGTCCAACCTTGGCAGGAGGGATGATGGCAGCGGGCATACAGAGAGACGGGAGCGTCAGCGCAGTCACCGTCTGCCCGTCAGAGGCTCTAACCGTGATGGTGTGTAACGGCAGCTCGGTACGTGAACCCCGACATCTGTGAATTTGGTGCCTGTTCCCAGACATCAACCCCTGGTAGCTCGAGATGCTGCCACCCGCATAGACGGTGGATTCGGTTCTGCCAGCGTGGTGGCTGCATCTCGCAGTGGCAGTGCGCACAAATGACTGCGCTGGAGGGCTTCTTCCCCTCCATTCCCAAAAAGTCGGGTAAGCTGGAGGCTGCGGCGTTGGGCGCCGTCGGCCCGATCACGTACCATCGTCCTGCCCGTGCCTGGCACGCAGCGGGACCTTGGGGAACACGGGAGCTTTGTGTCCCTTCAAACCAGCCTTTGGACCTGGCCTTTCCTCTCATACCCTCTGGCAAGGCTGGCACTAGTGAGATGGGGCCTTACAAATCTTTTCGGGTTTAACCTTCCTCTGGTTCAAACGTGGTTTTGGGGCGTAAGTGTGGTAACTGTGTTGCTCAGGAACGAAGCAGCTCATTGATGACCCTCCTTTCATGTAACTTTGATTTTCCATTCCCTACCCTGAATCTGTGGTGATCAAAAATGCCATACTTCACCTATATACTTGTCTTCCTTTTAAACTGGAGACACCATGCCAACAATTGTAGTGATTTTTTTTTTTTTTA